TTTAAGTGGTATGAAATCAGCACCATGGACCTGCTTTACCACCTCATCAGCTTACTTATTTCAAAGTTTAGCAAAGAAACACAACATTTAAATGCTTTGACAGTTAAAGAAGACATATTATGTTCTCTTTCCTGTAGCGTGTTATATAGGTTTTTCTGGCTGTATAAATGGTCTGCAAAGGCTAACATCCCAGAGGGAGTTTCTCTCCTACACACTTCCCCCTCCCAACTGAAATGCCTCCATTGGATTCCTTTGTATACCTTCTATAACACAATGACATCACTATGTAACACTTGTGCTTCTATTGGCTAGCGCTCCATACCATTGTACGTCATAGGCTAAGGGACGGGACATTTCTAAGCGGTTGACCAATCACAACAGAGCCGGCCAGCTAACCAATCAGAGCAGACTGGGCTCTGGTTTCAGACAGAGGGTGAAAAGAGGTGCTGCAGCACAGGCAGCATGAGAAAAATAAAGAGCTTTTTGAACATTAAAGCAAGGAGACATGTCACAGTAGAGACATGAAATACTATCAATATGAACCTGACCATTAGCATAATAGGGCCCCTTTAAAAATGTACTAATCGACTTAATTAGTCTTAGTTAACTGAGACCAAAACAGCCAATTCATCTACTATTTGACAAATAGGGGTCAGCTCTATGATAAGACATAACAAACACTATACAACTTATAAACATAAGCATATACACACACACACACACACACACACACACACACACACACACACACACACACACACACACACACACACACACACACACACACAATGTTAAATGTAAGTCTCACAGATCAGAATTACAGAAAAGGTAAAAACTTTTTTTATTTGATGCATTTCTAGAAACGTTGATGATGAAAAAAAGTAGTATAACCCCATATCTGGGTTTGTGACTGTGTGAATGTGTTTTGCCCCAAAAAAACTTTCCGAAACTGTGAAACTTTGCCATTTATCCGGGGTTATTTCCATTCTGCCGTCTGGGTGCATCCATAATATGCAAATAGAGCTGACGGGGATGATGTATCTGGCCATGCTTACAGCTCACCCACACAATTTATGTCTAAGACACATGCAGCTGCATGCTCCCATACACACACATACCGCTTATGTACACACACGTACTCACACAAACACCCAGATGAATACACAAGCGCGAGCAGAGGCAGCTATGAATGAATTATTGGGTGGGAGTTTGCTTTGGTTATGACCTGCAGCTACATATGGCCCAGTCATTCGTGTGTGTGTGTGTGTGTGTGTGTGTGTGTGTGTGTGTGTGGGTGTGTGTGGCCTAGCATTACTATACTTGTGGGGACCTAAATCTGTTTACATAGTCACGTGTGGGGACTCACCTCCCTTATGGGGACATAATGGAGGTCCCCATGAGGGGAATCATTAATTTTAGGGTGAAGACTTGGTTAGGTTTAGGATTAGGATTAGGGTAAGGGTAAGGGTTAGGCATGTGTTGGTTATGGTTAAGGTTAGAATAAGTCTCCAGGAAATGCATGTAAGTCAATGTAATGTCCCCTGAAGTGATGTATACATGGTATGTGTGTGTGTGTGTGTGTGTGTGTGTGTGTGTGTGTGTGTGTGTGTGTGTGTGTGTGTGTGTGTGTGTGTGTGTGTGTACAACCTGTGTTAAACACTGTCTAAAACAAAAGGCATATAGTCCAGTAGACCAAACTAATGTGATTTTCCATTAATGTGATGCCCTAGGTGGCTCTGTTTGTTTGTTTGTGTGCGTGTGTGTGTGTGTGTGTGTGTGTGTTTTATCCTCAGTGTTAGGTGTTGAATGGACTCCACTCACACCTTCAATTTGTGTCAGCTCATTAATTTAAAAAGTCAGGCTGGTCGCTGGTGTATTCATTACCTATTTTTCAAAACACACACTCACACACACATTCCCACGCATGCAGTGTAATCTTCTGAATATCTGGCAACCTTGTCAATGATTACATTACTGCTGTTAAGTATGTGTGTGTGTGTGTGTGTATATGTGTTTGAGAGAGAGCAATGGAGGGAGAGATGTGGATAAGTACTAAATAGTTTTACAGTGAAAGCGAGTGTGCAATAAATGTAATGTGTGCGTATGTGTGTGTGTGTGTGTGTGTGTATTGATACCACAGTAAATCTCTCCTGCCTCTGTATGACTTAATGCATATTGCTAAATCTATAAATGTAACCAATTAAGTGCATGGTCGTAAGTCAGCACCACAGACTCATGCAAATGAAGTCTTTAAATCTGGATATGTGACTTAACTTTACACAAATTACACTTGACACATTTTACTGGGTGCTAAAAGTGTACATTGACTTGCTGTGGTAGCCACGGTAACAATCCACATCCAACATCGGACGTCTGACTGATTGCACACTTTGGCAAAGGCGCCTACTCTTCATAAGGTTGTATATATTAATATTGAAATAAAAATCAACCATATACTGTATAACGTATGTATTTGTATGCAGGAAGTGGGTGGGGCACTTTCTGGACGGTGAAATAATCTAGACTGCTTAAATTGGTAAATTGGTCTCTAATGACATTTAAAGTAAATGATGAATTGATTTTGAAAGCCTTTTTCTTGTCCAATGCGATTATTCAAAGGAAGTGAAGAAAGTTTTGGATGGGTCAGAGCTTATTAATTTCCCTTCCTTGCATGCATGATGTCTTTTCAAAATAAAGTTCCGTAAATAAAAGGAAAATGATGGTTTCGTCTTGTAGCATGCATCAAGTCAACCCTCGACTTACTTCGTTTTTAGGGTTAGTTATACAACAAAACTTGGGATGGTTTAACCCTAACCCTAACCCTTGGGATCAAATTAGTCAAAAAAGTAATTTTGGCACTTAACTGGCGTCAGTGAGGTATTCTAAGATGCACAATTAAGGTAAAATAAGTTGTTTTCTAGTTTCCTCAAGGACAAACGCTGTGCATCCTGGGAAGAACGTATGTGTTTGTCTGACCCATCTATCCATGCACTCTTGCCTCCTCACCTAATCGGACTTAATGCTGTTTACGGAAGTTACGGCAGTTGCTTTGATGTCTGACAGACATTACGGTTATTGAAAGCCTGGAGCCTCTCATACAGGTGTCTCTGACCAAGTGTCTATATTTGAACAGTTAGGATTGTGACAGGGTTGGCAATATCTGTGTAAATAGGTTAATAATTAAATAATTTTGATGATGTATGATTCCGTCACACCAATTACTATTCATTTTCAAGAAAAAACTTGTTTGTATTTGCACCCTTAACTTATAGGCTGCTTATTGCCAGTATTGCATAATAAACAACCAAGAGGAACACAATAAGGATGTGAGCTCGAGGCCATATTTGTTGGCCCATGACAGATCCAGAAGCTTTATTGCTTCTGGGTAGAGGCTATAATTCAGAGGGAAGGCCTTGTGGCAAGTGCCCGAAGGCTTCCACAGAACACAGCACATCTATCTGAGCCTCAGACCATGAGTGAGGAAAAAATAAATCAGAGGTCCAAAGGACTAAGAAATAAAAAAATAAAAAAAGGAAGAGGGTGGTCAGGGGGAGGAGGGAAGTCCATTTGGGAAAGCTCCTTGTCATATTTCGTCCTGACCTCTACGTCTCACGAGCTCCTGCTTGTCTTCCGTCTACAACTTGTTTTCTGTCTGTTCTCACCCCGACATCACAGCACTTCCTCTCTGCTTCTTCTTCTGTCTCTCTTCATTTGGTCTCCACATCCTCTTCTTTTTTTATTCCTCTGAATCTCTACTGTCACGCTTTTTCCCCCCACTCTTTATTTTAGTTCAATGCAATATATCGGGGAAAGAATACAAAAACGGAAGAGCACATTACATTTGGTTGTAAAATGAAATGAATACAAAGGAAAGTCGGACACTAAAAGGTGATGCACACAGCTGGGAACGGAGGACTTCTTGACATTTCGGAGATTATAGAGTTGGCTAGCTGTCACAGTTGGCAGAGCTAGCTACCTTACAGCAGATCTGCAGCAATGTCTGAAAGATTATGGAATCACATTGTTCAAATAAACCAATAAAACATATATTTTAGGTTACTTTCTAGTGACAGTGATTGTTGGCCAACTTCATCATTCCCAAACGTCAACAAGCTCTCCGGTCCCAGTGGTGTGCATCCCTTTATAGTGTCCCCGTTTCTGTTGTGTTTTGAGCTTCTTGGAGCATTTTGTGTTTGCAGAGTTACGTTTATTTAGTGCTTTCAGTAAACGCTGCGCATGTTTCGTCAAGTTGAGGAATGTTTTCTAAACGCTTGCTTGTGTTGTCAAGTTGGTGAGAAATGTTCTTCATTTGCATTTGTATTGGCACGTTTGTGTTTTTTTATTTGCATCGTCTTTAAAAGTGCAGCGCGTCTCCTAATGGAAATGTTTTGGGCCCTTGTAGCGTGTTTGCACCTGTTGACTCAATTTGTTGGTGAAAATGTGTGTAATATTGAGGGTGAACTTAATACACAGGTGTAGAATCCATTGTCTTCCATATCAGCAGATCTGAGTGTTTTGGGGCGTTGTAGCGCGATTGACCTGTTGGCCACCGTAACAATCCACCCTGTTTACAACATATATATAAAATATAACATTTTCTCTACGCTTTTCTTTTAATCTCTTTCGCTGTAGCCCCCTTCAACACACACATGCACTTTTTCAAATTGATATGAAATGTTTTTATTGCGTTGAAGGTAAAATCAATAGTGCCAAAGAAACAAGATTAAATAATCTTCCTGTCACTCAAAGTCTTTCTCCCATGTTTTTCATTTTCTCTTTATCACTTTTTCTCTCACAAAGCATGTTTTCTATATTAGGTTTAATTTCTTTAGTCCTATAGAACTGTTTTTAACCCAGTTCTGTGTTTCCACGATATTTCTCCCACTGAGGTTTAAAGTGGAGTTGTACTCTGAGTCATCTCACTCAATAATGGAATATATACGGTATATTCATCCCCACATTCTTAATATATATTTGTCTGTTCTTTTCTTTCCTCACAGTGGATGGATGCATAGACTGGTCGGTGGATCTGAAGCAGTACCATGTTCTGGCCGGGGAACCTCTTCGGTTGAAATGTGCCTTGTTCTACAGCTACATCCGAACCAACTACACCATGGCCACCAACGCCAAACTGCGCCTCATCTGGTACAAGAACAAAGGAGATGCAGAGGTAAGAGCACGTGGAACTAGAAGCGCATTTGGAAAGAACAGGGGCATTTGAATAAGGGAACCATCCGTTCCCGACTCCTAAATGTTACTACATATTCCTTTGCCCATGCCGCATTCTTTCACCAAGTTTCATGAAGATCAAATCAGTATCATATATTTCAGTTGTACTGCTGAAAACAGAGAATAAAAACAAATCAATAGAAACATAAATCATTTTGGTTATATAGCTGAGATGTGGAATTGTAGGCCATCTTCCTGGAGATGTTTGCAGTCATCGAAATAAACTGTCAGGCAGAAATAACAAAAAACATGAATTTTACTGACACAAAAAGTCTCCTACATTTAAGTCCAAATATAACCTGAATTACTCATTTTTGGAGTTTCCAATGAACATGTTTGTACGATTATTTATGTATTGTATGTTATTATATGTTAACTGTTAAAATGGTGGACTACTCTGTGAGAAACTGGGATACTGCTATAATTAGCCCAGATATTAAGAGGGACCCTATTATGCTTTTTAAGGGTTGTCCCTTTCCTTTAGTGTGTTATATAGAGGTCACTGTGTTCCCTCACGAGGAAGTTTCTCTCCCACACACTCCTCCCCCCTGCCTGAAACACCTCCATTGGACTCCTTTGTTTATTACCATAACATAGTGACATCACTATCTAACACTCACGCTTCTATTGGCTAGTGCCTCAACACATTGTACGTCAAAAGACGGGTGAAAAGAGGTGCTGCAGCGCAGGCAGTATGAGAAAAATGAAGAGCTTTTTGAACATTAAAGCATGGAGACATGTCACAGGAGAGACAATGCAAATCTGAACCTGAAAATATGTCCTCTTTGAAAAGGAAACAAGCTAAAAAGAGAACCCCGCTGCGCTGACAGTTTAACCTTATTAATATTAGCATAGTGCACATGTTCACACACAACATTTTTCAGAAGTCTCTATACCTTTCAAAGCCTGACCATTGATAATGTGACCATTCAGAGGAAATTACGTTTCATTGCTCTTAAAACCTATTTCACTATTCCCCCCCCCCCCTTTTGCTGGTGGGTGAAACATGGATGCAATTTAAGAGACATGGGAAGTACCTCCAGACACTAGCATACCATGTGCAAAAACTATACACAATTGGAATATTGTCTACATTGTAAAGATCAGAGTGTGAAATACGTCTAACCACGCCAACAATCTCTCTTTGTGTGAGCTTGCTTGTGTTTGAGTAATACAAAATAGACAGAAACAAGAGGGACTGATAAATCACACAGGGTTAGGGCCCTACATGCTTTAATACAGGGGTGCCCAATACGTTGATTGCGATCGACCGGTCGATCGCAAAGGTAGTGTGGGTAGATCGCATGGCATTGAAAAAAAAATAAAAAATCATCATCATCCATCCTTACTTTGGCATTTGCCACTTGATTGACGTACAGATAAGGCAGTCTGAGTTGTATTGTGCCATACGGGTTCATGCAGTTATGAGGGGGCCTCAACTCCTCATCTGAAGCGCAAATGCGGTGCACTATTATGCCGTCTAGTCCACTAGCAACTTTTTCAATAATGTACCCCCTTTGAAAAAAAAATTCAGCCAAGTACCCCCTGATCAGCGCAAAAACAATTTTGGGAAAAAATGCCTATATAAAGAGGTACGGTACAGCGCTGCACCATCGGCGTCTGATTTATTAAAATAACAACAGTAACTGAGAAACACTTAAATGCTACATTTCAAATGTTTACAATCCATCACTAAATTTATGTCAAACCAATTTTAACATCATGCAATAACACTAAGACGACATTAGCTGCATTGAACTGATCTTTTTAATAAGTTTTACTTACAATGTAGTGAAACATGGGCTTGTGCTTCACTGAGGATCTTTGTTATTCCGACAGGAAGGCAAACTGCAGTTATTACACTTCACGTTTTGAAATATGTGTAACTCTGTTCATATAAAACCCACACTGCTCAAACTTTCTTACTTTTCCTAACATTTGTATATTTATTAGTTTATTTTGGGGCGTGGGGAATGAAGAGAAAAAAACATATGAGCATTTTATGAGCATGGGATTTTGACCCCTCATATAAACATATGCATAATGCTGCGCTATACTTTGCAGCCACAAGCCGTTGCCAAGCAAAGCTTATTGTTTAGGTCAGCGGTTTTCAAAGTGTGAGCCGCGCCTCCCTGAGGGGGCGCCAGAGAGCTTCAGGGGAGGCGCAGCGTGAGAAAAAAATAGCAAGAGTAAAGTGTCACTTGCACACATTTGGCTGTCTGTGGAGACCTTGCCAAAAAGGCTGTAAAAGTGCTCATTCCCTTCACCTCCACCCAGGGTGGACTGGCCATCTGTGTGTTCTGGAGAATCCCAGAATGGCCGGTCGTCAGCGGGCCGTTGACGGCCGGCTCGGTTCGCTGACGGCCGGCACCGCCCTTTATTTTTTATGTTTTTAAATGGCATCATGATTTAAGTTGCGCTGACAGGCAACAGAGGTCCGTTCAGCGGGCCGTTTCCACGCAGTGAGGCTCCCTCCCCCCGTTGACAGTTCACTAGCGTGCTCTACCAATTTGTGTGGGCTGGGCTGGGGGAGATTCCAGGGCTGATTTTTAGTCCCAGTCCGCCCCTCCACCTACCTGTGTGAGTGCGGGTTTTCACTTTGATCAAAAGCAAGTACCGGTCAAGGCTGCAGCCAGAGGATGATCTGTGTTTATTCCTGTCTACATTGCATTCCCGCATCATCCGCCTGCGGGCATCAAAGACGCAGACTCATTGTTCCCACTAAAGTAGGGGTGAGTGTAATAAGGAGGCAAAGTTGCCGTTCAGTGTGTTGCCGGGAGCATATAAGGATTCATCCACAATGTTGAAAAGGTTTAAAAAAGTTATTGTTTAATGTTTTAAGGAGGTGACGTTACTAAGCCAATCAAATCGGTGCAGTCAGTGAGTCAGCACAATAGATTCAAACACACACAGAGACGAGACAAGAGGAGAGAAACAGTCGGAGTAATTTCAAAATGGCGTGCTCAACAAAGAGAAAGGTGACAGCGAAAACAGAGCATTTAATGACATTTTCTCTCACTGGACCTCTTTGAAATGCAATTAAATACCCCTGCATTATAGCAACAACAACAATACTAATAGCAATAATAATTGGGAGGGGGGGCACGGCTGTTCTTATGTTCTCTGAGGGGAGGCTCACCTTCCCACACTTTGAAAACCCCTGCTTTTGGTCCTTTGATAAGCAGGCAGTCATATCATTAACTAGAACTAGCTAGATCGGATAGATTTGGACATAAACGCGAGTGAAGTATAACCGGACGTGAGAGAGAGATCAGATCAGCTGCTGCTGATGGAGAACACGCAGCTCTTCCGGATCACAGCTCCGCCGCTGTGACGAACCGTCGGAGCAAAATACACTAAGAGTTAGACCAGGACACACTAATGCTGCGTTCACACCGAACGCGATGCGATGTTTGGGGGCGGCGCGATTACATGTAAAGTCGATGCAGAGACGCGGACAGACGCAAATTCGCTCCGACGGCGAGCATGAAGCGGTGGACGCGGCGCGAATCACGCGATTGAATGGTGCCGCGTCAAACGCGAGAGTTCAAATTATTTTTTTCTTTACTGTCGGGTCACTCACTTATTACAGGTTCAGCGAGCTGCATGAGACTGACGGGCTGTCAGGAGAGGGAGAGGAAAAGAGAGCACCCCGTTTATTTTTCCCATTTTATTATCCAGAATTACTTTAAACTTTTGAATAAAGTAGTTAATCAACTATTAGTAGTTTGTTTAAATGCATTACTTACATTTCATTAACATAAAATCAATCTCACGTACCCCCTGCAGTACTCCAACGTACTCCTAGGGGTACCCCCATTTGAGAACCACTGCCTTAAGGGAAGAGGGAATGTATGTCTCCTTATTTAAATGACTCTTATATTTAAATGACAGCCACTGAGACAAATGTAACATTTGTGATATTGGGCTATATAAATAAACATTGATTGATTGATTGATAATTATTGCTCTAACACTGACTTTGTACTGGGTCCTTTAGGAGCCTATCATCTTCTCTGGTCATAGACTGAGTAAAGAAGACGACTCGATCTGGTTCAGATCTGCTGAAATGGAAGACAATGGATTCTACACCTGTGTACTAAGGTAACCTCACAATTTCAGACATTTGGACAACGTTACAACTGCCCTAAACATTTATATTAGGAGAAACGTGATGCAGTTTCAAAAACTCTGTACATCAACTGAAAAGGGCACACACAAAAGTGATGCACCTAGCTGGGACCGGAGAGCTTGTTGGCGTTGGGGGATTATACACTGGAAACGTATCTAAAATTGAAGTTTTAGTGGCTTATGTTAACAATGTGATCACATGATATCTTCCAATATTATTTCAGATCTTCGGTTAGATGGCTAGCTAACCTAGTCTTTTCATATATACTGACAAACAATTGCAATTATGAAACAGACTAACAACTTCATAATCCTCAAATGTCAGCAAGCTCTCCGGTCCCATTCCAGCACTATTTTTGAAAGTCAGCCTTGCCAAGGTTATCAATATTACAAATCACAACTGAATAGTGTTTAAAAAACGTCAATATTTTATCATCAGAATCAAGTTTATTGCCAGCTTTGGTGGTTCAAAATCTTTGGTATCTAAATCATTTAAAGATGTTTACTATATATACTGTACATTTGGATTCTTAGTATAAATAATAAAAAGTCAAAACTGTATTATCATTATTACATTTGTTTACAATATTTAAAACTTTCACTAGAGGTATTGTGTGTGTGTGTGTGTGTGTGTGTGTGTGTGTGTGTGTGTGTGTGTGTGTGTGTGTGTGTGTGTGTGTGTGTGTGTGTGTGTGTGTGTGTGTGTGTGTGTGTGTGTGTGTGTGTGTGTGTGCACTTGCATATTTCCCTTGCTAGTTTAATGGAATGCTGCCAGTTCAGTCAATTGAATATTTACAATATGGCTGTTGGCACTACAGCAGAATTTGTCCCGAGTCCTTGTGATGTGTGTGTGTTTGTTTGTTATCCTTGTGGTGTGTGTGTGTGTGTTTGTGTGTGTGTACATTTGTTTGATACTAGGTTGGTGGTGGTGGGGGTGGTGGGGTATCAAGTTGTGCACCGGTTGGCTTTGTAGCCCAGAACAAAGCTTACAGTGTTGTTTACCTGCAAGCGGATGGTGCATAATGAACTAACTTAAAATATGCCCTCTTGTAAATCTGTGTAAAGTAAATATGTGGCCTCCTGTCAGCCAATATCCATAGGGACAAGATCATGTCCTGGCTTATTTTGTAGAAATGATGAGGCATGGTTGTTGTTGTTTTAATGTAATTTAATATGCGTAAAGGTAACACTCCTCATCCGGATATTTTTTGGAATGATTAAATGGTCATTATCAAACATTTTTGTAAGCATTCATTTGAGTTGGTATGGCCCTACTGTACCTCCTAATTGTTTCAATTGGTCATTATGATTTCTTATTACATGGCTAAGTTGAAGTGGCCCTTTTTAAAAAAAAAGGTGTTTTAAAGGTCAATATTTTACGTCTAGATATTCTAATTTATTTTCAAAAATCTCATCAACAATTATTTTGGTGAGTTTTCAGAACTAATGGGTTTACCAGTCGAAACAATACTGAAAGCAAGACTCAACATTTAGTAAACAGAATTCTTTAATTGATCAACATTGGAGGTCATTTTCCATCATTCACTTTTCGGAAAAACATCTCTCCTTTGTGTCACAAATCTTCACCTCCCCTCTCTACTTGATCCTGTTTGCCTCCCTCCTCTGCACACCTTCACCACCTTCAACGTCCTTTAATCTCTCCAGCTGCCTCCATCTCCAACACCTCTTCCTCCTCCATCTCTTCTTCTAGTTCCTGTTCCATCTTCCTCCATTCTGCTCCCTCTCCCCGTCTCCTGTTTTTATCTGCACCAGATTCACTTTACCTCCCCTCATCGCGCTCTCCCTCATCCCCTCATCTTCCCCCTCCGTTGCTCTCCACCCACCTCCTTTTCCTGCCAGAGTTTGACACCTTTCCTCCCTAATAAGCTATCTCCCTCTTTCTCCTTTTTCCCTCGCTCTCTCAGCATGACAACCTAATTAGGGCTTGGTGTTCGTCATTGTCTCAGGGTCTCTTATTAACACTCACACACACACACACACACACACACACACACACACACACACACACACACACACACACACACACACACACACATACACATACACACACACACACACATATATATGGATCATATAATAGTACTAGAAGGTTGTACTGTATATAGAATGTGTCACCATGCACAGAAAGCCATTTGGAGAATTAACCTTTTAATGTATTTATTGCCCTCAAGCAATGTAAATTGTTGTCGCTGTGACAATGAAACACGTTTTTACTCCCAACTCGTAAACTGACACTTGGTTAAAGCCCCTTGGCGATACCTTTGTCACACATGTTGTACGGGCAGGGTGGTCAGATAGTCTTTAACATGTGGTAAAGGTTGTACATTTAAACACAACTCTTGGTTAGACTTAGCCAAAAATCATCATTTGGGTTTAAGCAATTATGAAGTTTATGTCACAGCCTGTAAGAATACAAAAACTGTTGTGCAATACTACTGCTCTAGTGCAATTCACAATTTCATTCAGTTTAGTACTGTTTTTCACGATATTACAACTATCTACTTCAATAACCATACATTTTGCATACTTGTTATACCATCATGTAATTCCCATTTGTTCTGCGCTGTTCCCCTTTGCTGTAACAACGTGAATTGCCCTGGGGTGGGAAAGATAAAAGCTTTTCCTTTAACCAATTTCTGATAAGTTAAGTTATGTACAGGTTATTTACGCTACGTAAATTATGATTATTATATATTGTTTTTTGGCTAAAATTCATGTTAACTTTTTAGTCTAGTGGGAGATAGATGGACGGGTTAAACAAGCAAGGGACTTTCGTCAAAGATAATGCTGTTCATGCCATGTGAAAACAAATAGTTGGGTGGGTAGAAGGGGGTATCATGCACCCCCCTGAAATATACTTCTAATCAGCTTTTCTAGATTGGAAACATTGTGTAGAAAACGATTAGCTATGTTAAAAAGTTGGCAAATTGTCCCACGTATATTTTTTTCCCAAATTAGTGTTTATTTACCCTAAAAATCGAGTTTCACTCTTTTTACACCTTTCACTATATCTCAGCCATTATTGCAGATAACTGAACAAATAAGGTATCCAGATCCATGTTTTGAGGGTCAAGGAACACAATAAAACTATTCTTAAAGTGATCACATGTGTCTGTGGCATGCTATTATGCTAATTAGTGCCGCCATTACAAGAAAATAGCATTTCAGTCTTGTACCAAGAAGGGTGTATTTTGCATCGACACAGGAATATTCTTATAATCAGTGTTTCCTAAGTGAAAAAAGTATGTAGAAAATGATGAGCTATGTTAAAATGTTGTCTGGATGTCCCACATGTATTTTTTATGCAAATTAGTGTCACAATTACCAAAAACGGAATTTTCACACTTTTCACTCTATCTCAGCCAATATTGCAGATAAATTAACAAATAATGTGTCTAGACCCATGTTTTGATAGTCAAAGATCACAATAAAACTATTCCCAAAGTGATCACATGTATCTGTGGCATGCTATGCAAATTAAGAGACGCCAATATTGCAGTACAGTAAGTGAACAAATAAGGTGTCTAGACAGATGTTGTGTATTTAACCAATATGTATTTGTTTTGTACTAGCCTACAGCAAGGGTCAAACATCATAATATAAGTATTGATGTGACTACTCTTTCCCATTCCAGATAAGCAGTCAAGGTTTGGCTCTCCACTATCTGATTAATACTCAATCATCGTTTTCAATGCTATCATCAGAGTCAAATTCCTCTTCCTCTTCCTCTTCGTCTTCCTGTTCACGCTCTGTCGTGTCCAGGAGATCAACCAGGGAGGTTGGCAGGACAGGACCACAGGACCACACCGGTCTCAACACTCCATCAGTCCTCATCCATCCCTGCTCCTCATCATAGGGGTTTAGTTTTTCTAAAATTGATTCATCAGCTCGCTTGTACAGGGCGACGCGATGGTTCACACGTTGGACGTGCGGCTTCAGAGCATCATAGCATGGAGGAAGGCGAGCCAGGTCAACCTTAGACTTGGCAGTGAGTTTATCGTCCTGCCCCACCATTTTGCGCAGCAACTTGGCACGGACTACGTCCACTGAAGACTCACGACTCTCTCCATATATCAGACAGGTGAATTGCTCCAACTGCTTCAGCACCTCAGGCTTGACATTCCAGTTGTCACCGAGTTGACTGAACGCCCTGTGAAACTTCTGGTTCTTCTCCAGCTTTTTCAAGGGCCCCACCTTCCCCTTCCCTTTGAAGGCACTGGTGCAGTCTTCTCCGCTGAACACATGGAATCCAAGAAGTGTGGCACAGTAGTCTTCTCCCAGGGATTCTGCGAGCTCAGAGAGGTTGAGAAGTTGTCTATGTTTCCCTGACCCCGTATCCAGGTATATAGTCAGCTTGATGGCATGAGCGTGGTAAAGAAGAATCACAAAGATATCTGTGTCAGGTGTTCTGACTACAGCATTCTTGTACCCAAGGGCAGCAGCGTGATGAAGGTAGAGTACCACCCTTGTATCAGTCTCTTCCTGGTTGCTGTAGATTGTGGGGAGCTCACGTACCTCAACCTGATACACAATGGGACATTGCACTTTGATCAACAATGACAGAGACTAGACACAAATCACAGATAATCACTTAGAGTATAATTAAACCATCAATCACTTTTAATATGGGCTTTCAATTTACCTTGCCATTTGAGGAGAGAAGTTGATGGGCTCTCCCTTCCACGACCAGCACTGCCATTTCTGTTCTCTCCAGCCTTGAAGCTGCCTGTTGATCACTCCATACTCGCAGCAGGAGCTGGCAGAGTTGCTTTTTGTTGTCATCATTTGTGAGAAACATCTTGAAGTCATATGGCTTCCTGATTGCTGGTCCAGCCAAAATGATCTTCTCTGAACTGCCACGTCTCAACCTCTCCTGTGCTTTGATAGATCCTGGATGGTAACTGTCAGTCGAGAACAAAAAGTGCTTTTTGGCCACCATCTGATCAAGCACT